TCAGCCCTTCCAGCAGCAGCCAACAATACATAAATCACATTTCACACTACCCAATGATACATTAGTCATCTTCGTGTCTGTGTTAGCAATGGTTATAACTCTGTCTCTTTGTTGTGTCCTTGAGTGCACTTTTCACCACATCACCACTACTGCCAGCACCACTATCCCCAATATTCCCAATAACTGCCAACAGCTGCAGCACTTTATAATGCTCATTGAACTCCAAATCTTTTTCTGGGCTCATAAATATAGAGTCAAATACTGTCACTTATTGGCAATGAGAAGCATAAGGCATGATAAACATAACTCAGTGTATGACATTAGCCAAGTTTATCCTATATAAACACAGCTTAGCACAAATTTCTGAGCATGAGCAGCCTGTCTGTAAAAGTATGGGTGGGCAATATGGCGAGATCTTATCGTTATCGTGATATACAGTGTCACAATACACTTTTCTGAGCATATCAAGGATGCCATCAGTACTTGAATACTGACAAAATACACTACAATATTATTATTATTATTATTTTTTTTTATTATTATTATTCTTTTTAAGCGGCACTACAAGTTCCATTTTATCTGTTCCAGCTTATTAAATCTCAGAAAAATTGTGTGATGCATACTGTGTATTGTAAAAAGGTCCAGAAATACTGTCATAATATTTTTGCCATATCACCCACCCCCTATGTAGAAGGTCAACAAGGTGCATTTTCAGACTCGCTTTTAGTTGTAATGTAATACATAAGCTGGACTCCACTGCGGCTTCATGCAAACTAATTTCTAGACTTCAGTTAACTTAAAAATGTAACATGAAACATAATGTGAAATGTAATAGGTAACAAGAAATTAATGAAAATGTAGGTCTGTTTTTCCCTAAACCTGCTTTAAAGAAGCTGTTCTCACTGCATGGAGGGAGACCACCTGGTGCACAGTTTGATGCTGAAAAGTGCTGAATGATTTGGGGAAAATATCAATCTTTCTAACCAACATTGTGATTTAATTGTGATTATTTTCTTTATATTAAAGTGGAATTCCACTGATTTTTTTTCTACATTTCTGCAAAATTAAATCATTTAGACTTAAAGTATTTCAGTCAGAATGTGGTGATGAGAAATGTTCCAGTCCAGACAAACTTACTGAGTCAGAAGTGAGTGGTGGTGATAGGAACCAGACGTCTAAAGCGTTTACTGCTTCTAAAAGCTCCCTCACAGAAAGCTATTCCATGACACTGTTAACAATACACTGCCTGATGTCTGATACATTGTTTCATGGTAGTTTTATGAAATTCTTTTGGCCATTTTTAATGCATTCATGGTGGAGAGGCACATGCAGGCAGTTGTAAGGTAAAATAGTTCCCAAAGAAAATTTATTTTTCAGATTTATCTCTTTTTTTTACCATAATTACATGTGAAAACTCAGAAGACACATGTAGGTTCACTGGTGGTTTTGGAGAGTAAATAAAATAGCTATATTTGTGTTGTAGACATTGTGACCCCTGGTTCCCATCACCACCACTGTAAAAACATCTGAGTTGGCAACTTTTTTTTTTAACAATGAACAATTTCACATCAAACGACTCTAAATTCAACATGTGAAGTATGCAGAAATTTCTAAAAATTGGTGGAATTCCCCTTTAAGTTCCAAGTGTTTTTTTTTCCCTTTAAGAAGACCAGCACTTCTATTTAGTTGGTCTTGGGGCTTAAATACTAAATGTAGTGTGCCAGTCATGATCACTGTGTTATTAGGTTAGATTTCCTCCTCTAAAACTCATTAAGAGAACGCTGAATAACGTAGTCTATAAAAAGAAATTCCAGCTCTTAATATTTGAAAACGGCAGTCTTTCAAAGTGTGATTTTGAGAGATATCTCTCAAAACATGCTTGATTAAACTCATCGGTTAAAGTGGAATTTCATCTTTTTTTTTTCCATTTCAGAATGATTCAGTCCTTAAGATGTAAACAGAGTCATTTAAAGTGGTTTGATGTTAAGTGGTTCATTGTAGAGAAACTTACAGACTCAGATTTCTTTATAGTGGTGGTGATAGGAACCAGGGGTCACAATGTCTACAATACAAATACAGCCATTTTATTTACTATCCAAAACTACAAGTAAACCTACATGTGTCCTCTGAGTTTTTAGATCTAACGCTGATGATGGCAAAATAATCATAAATCTGAAAAAGTAAGTTTACTTTGGAGACTATTTGCCTTACAGCGCCCTATATATGAATCACGATCGAATCCATGAATGGATCAAAATAAATTGGTTAAAATACATTTTAAGCCAAAACTTTATCACAAACCTATCGCAAAACAGTATCTCAGGCACCAGACAGCATATATTTCGATCACATTTAATAGCTTTCTGTAAGGGAGCTTTTAGTGGTGGACGTCTGGTTCCTATCACCACCACTGTAAACAATTCTGACTTCACACCAAACTACTCTGAAGCACTGTTTACATCCCAACCATTTAATTATGTAGATTTTTTTGAATATTCGTTGGAGTTCCCCTTTAGGTAAGTAGATTTAATAGTACAGACAAACCCTTGTGATTATGTTTTTTTTTTTTAATCATACAGTTTCCTATGTTGTGCACAGGACGGCAGCAGGCCAGTTTCCCCTAAGCTCCTAAAGCTGTCCTTCTGCACTGTGTGGATACTGAAACTCACCTCACAGCTCTACATAAGACTTACACAGCACATCTGTCCAGAACCATCAGTCACACAAACACAAACATGCTGTGCGCCTCAGTCATTACATGAAATCACAGGAGGCCTCCTCGGAGATTAAGAAGAAAAACTTTGTCAATGTCCGCCATTCATAAGGAAATAGTGACACCTAGCGGCCAGCTCATGTCCACACAGCCTACTCCACACACTACACAGGGAATATGCTCGTTAAAATCGCCCGCTCACCTGCGCTGTTGTCTTTTCTGTAGAGCTGCTCCAGAGCGGCTCATTCCAGCCACCTTCTAAAACCAGTATATACTCGTTGGAGTTCAGTTGTCAGTGTTTGCTGGTTTGGTAAAACTCGTACAAAATTCCTTCATTCAACTCGACTCTACTCATAACTTCGACTATTCAGAAACGCGCCGCAGCCCACAAAATGTGACATCACTTCCTGAATACGCTACGTCAAATTGCAACGTGATTTTGATTGGCCTGTTAAATTTTGCTTTAATTGTTGTTAATGTATATATATATATATATATATATATATATATATATATATATATATATATATATGTGTATATTTGGCCTGTTTAAAAAGGGACGTTTAAAAAATGTAATAAAAACAACTGTGTAAATATTGACTAGTGTTCATACATACGCTCATATGCAAAGGTTTAGGTGCCCCTAGTCAAATTGTGTATTTTGTTGATCTTTTTAAATGAAAATAAATGAACACGTCCTCTACTGGGAGCAAACTTAAAAATGCCATTTTTTCTGTGCACTAGTTATTTACTGAGCTTAACATATTGGAACAAAATATAAAATGTGATACGAAATGTGCCTTTACTTTTTGCACACATTTGTTAAACTAAGCTAATAAACAGTGATAGCAGTATTTGTGGGTTTGCAAATGTGTACTCATTTTCACTTAAAGTATTTGACCAGGGGTGCCCAAACATTTGCACACGACTGTGTGGAAAAGTGTCACAAAGCACAGAAAAGCAACAGTCTTGCAGAAACTTAATTCCAGAGTTTAAGAAAGTGAATCTCGAGCACACACACATTCATTCTATAGAACAAAATACTCCTCTGACACATTCAGTAGGGTTAAAAAGCACCTTTACTGCCCTCTCCATTTGTCATACATGAAACACTATCACACTTCCATGGAGGAACAGTAAGCGTGCATGCTGTGAGTGTTTGGACTCAGTGTTTGGAGCTGGGTGGAGTTGGCGTCTTTGAGTGAACACACTGAAACTCAGAGTTCCTCTCCTGCCCTATCAGACCCTACTCAGCTGCTGGAAGGCCTTTACTGAGGGATCCTCACACTGCTCCTACCACCAGTCCATACACACTCACAGAGCTGTAGTGAGGTCGAGGAGTTGGGTTGTTAAGGTCCATCCCAAATCGTACCCTGTTCCCTTCCTTTAGACTCCTAAGATATGCATTCCAGAGGCCAGCTAAACCAATGTAAACTCAACTAAAGTGTAGAATTGTATTAGCTATTTGTCTATAGCTTGAATTGACTTAAAGGAGAATTCTACAGATTTTTCTAAATATCCGCATAAATAATCCATTAAGATGTGAATAAAGTCATTCAGAGGGGTTTGATGCGAAATGTTCCACTCTGGATAAACTTACCAAAAGCTCCCTCACAATAGTTTTATGAAAAGATTTTTGGCTTTAAATACATTCATGGATGAAAGACGCATGCATGTCCAAAGAAAACTTATTTTTTCACCACCACCATTGTGAAGAAACCGGGTAAATTTCTCTCCAGGTACCTGTTTCACATCAATCCACTCTAAATGACTTTTCAAAAAGTTGGTGAAATTCACTATTAAAGGTGTGGGTTGCTATTGTCACTCTTACTGGTTAAGGTCATAATGAGCTTATCAAAAAATAAGTACTGGCCCAAAACATATAGAGCTAAATGTAATACGCACTTAAGAATTATCATTCTTCAAGGACAAAATGGTTCTATAAAGAACCATGAACACTCAAAGAACCCTTTGCATGATTAAAGTGTTCTTTGCATCATGGAAAGTTCTTCAGATTGATGGAGAATGTGCTAGAGAGGGTTATATATAGAACCTTTTTGAAAAGGGTTAGAATGTCAGGCTTGTTACAATAGAAGACCTTTTTGGTGCAATATAGAACCCTTTTAAAAAAGACTCTATATAGAACTCTCTACAGCACACTGTCCATCAATCTGAATCAGTTTGTACATTGTGCTTATGATAATAAATCCTTCAGAGACTTGTTTGTAAAGCTGATCAAAGATAAGTCGTTGAGATTGAGATCCACCAAAAGAGACTGAGGATTCCTCTACAGGAGTGCTGCTACATCTCTCTCCACTTCTTCAAATGGACAATGGGGGTCAAAGCTGACAAAAGAAAATAAAAAGGCAGTATGAAAAACTGAAAACTGGAGTGAATATCGCAATATGTCAAACAGCAGTGTAAATGCACTATGAAGTCCAGTTAAAATGGTAAAAGATTAGAGTTTTATTGCATTGTGTCTAAAATGAATTAGACTTCAACCATAAGCAGATGTTCTTGTTAGGATGTTAGTCTTGTTGGCATTAAACTGTTTTGTTAGCCTAATTAATTGTCAATTTATGTAAAAGTAGCACATTTTATGGGAATCTGAATCATAATACCAGAAATCTATGTCACATTTTTCACATTTTAGGAAAAGCCGTCATGTTAAATATATGTTGGAGTAGGTTTTCAATTAAGCAAAACCATTTATACATACAAATGTCCATTAAAGCAACTGAGATTAAAGCAAAGCTGCTCTAAATTCTGTCTTTCATCTAGAAGTGGATTCTTTAATGTTGTGGCCTAATAAACTGCTCTGGCTGAATTTAAGCCCCAAGTAGCTTAAAAGCCCACAAAATGACAGAACCCATTTCAAGACCGAAAGTGTCTGCGGTTTGTAAACACACATGTTCCATACCGTTTGTACGGCACCCCATCCGCAGTGATGAGGAACTTCTCGAAGTTCCATCTGATGTCATTTGCTTTAATTGGAGACCAGTAAAGTTTCTTAGTGTCTCCAACAACAGGGTTCATGGAAGGAAGAGACTCCTGCAACAAATTCAGAAGAGGAGAGAGATCCTATTACCTAATTAATTCATGGGTTTTTATGTGGAATTAAAACAATATCACTGCATAGTTCAGTGTTTTCTTGGTCTCAGACACCTGGTTCAATACACTAATTCACTAATAATCCAGCTATTCAGGAGTGTATTTTGTGTGTTACAGCAGGGAAACTGAAACTGATAATCCTGTTGTGAGCTGACCTCACTTTATGAGAAGATCATGGCCAAGCCTACTCAATTTTCTAAGTTAATAGAAATATTTTTAATAAAAAGGAAAGGTGACTAATCCTGTTGCTTTTCCTTTTTCTTTAATGTGGGAAATAAAAATTGCCATGTATGAGGGCAAATGTGCTTTTTTAATTCAAAATTGACAGCCCAGATATTACTTTTCTTTTTCTTTTTTTTCTTTCTTTATATTTTTTGGCATATTTGGTCTCCCTCTGGGTCATACACGATAAATAACAATAAGAGATATGCAAATGCAATCTGAAGCTTGAATATGTAATCAAGAGGTTTAATCATGCTTATGTAATCTTTCTGCACAGATTCTAATCAAGTCAACTAACCGACCCTGTGTGAGCTTGTGTAGGGAAAGAAAACTCTACATTCAAACTCTACCATCCAGAAGAAGGCTTGTATGGAATCTTCCCCTGTAGATTCCATACAGTGTCTATTTAAAAACTCAGACACACCTGTTCTTTTCAGAAAATTAGTAACTTGCCTTCAGATAAGCGTACAGAGGCTCCTCATTCATCCCGTTAACCTCGATTTTACTGAACATGGGGAATTTTGGGATGAACCCACCACCGGGTCTCACACACCGCAATGCATCCAGGGTCTCATGGTTCTCCTCTGAGAAACGTGAAGAACAGTTACTGCAACAAAATTTTTATTGCGTGATATACTGACTTACATTTTCTTTACACTGATGCATCAAACACAGTCAACACAGCTGTAATAAATTCCAGGACAGTTTCTATGTTGAAATGAGTGGAATCATTCTGATTAGTCATGCACTTCATATACAAGAGTTAGTTAATCCACACTTATCACTGTCGTAAAATAACTGGCCTTTAAAACACTAACCAGATTCCCATGTTTCTAACAATGTTTATAAACAGGCCAATTAATGACCTGGATGATGATGGTATACTAAGCTATTGTATCTATTGTACAGCTATTGTTGCTGTTGCTATATTCAGTCTACCAAATTTATTTGTTTCAGTGTTCATTTCACATATGTTTGTATAATAAATATAATACAGCGCTGGTATTATGTGGAGGACCATACTACCCCACATACTTTGCTACCAAACAATATAAGCGCTTAGCAATGCACTGTTAAATGTTTTATCCTGCATCAGCATACATAATAAAAAATATGATACTAATCCAATGATCTGAAGTGTGTTACAAAAGGGAAAATTCCAATGACTGCAATGCTACAGACCTCCATAACTGCATTGGTAAAAGCTATAAATGAATCAGAACTTAATAAAGAGCACTGGGACAATACACAGTGCCATTAGTGCATTTTTATCTATGAAGAATTATAGTTAAGCATTGTTCCTTACCAGGCGCCTGTAGTCCAAACTGATTGCATGGGAATCCAAGAATGGTGAACTTCGGACCACCGTACATATCCATAAGTGCATTCAGCCTCTGATACTACAGCCAAATGCACACATAACCTACTATGATTTTACCATCACAGAAACAAACACTGCTCTTCATTGAGATTTACTATAATGCATGCCTTCCCACAAATCACACTGAATACATTTAGGTCTGATTTGATCACGTGTTGGTAAATAAACATTTTGTTTTGTGCAGTCCATTTATCATACACTCAGAGTTGTTCTTTTTAATCATTTATACTCCTCTCTGTGCTCTTCTTTGGTAGACATGCTTAGATTATGAGTCAGACATTCACAGAAAATCTCTCTTAGTCCCGGATTACACATAATCTTCCAGATGTTATCACAATCACACATTGCTTTCTGGATTGATAAGGGCCAGGATTCTCTGTATACAAATTTAGTCAAAGTCTGATCTACAAAACTGGGCCTTCACAAACCAGCTGCAATAAACATTCATGCAAACAGTTTACCTCCTCAATGGTGGAGCCTCAAAAGGTGGCCACATTGATGATGAGAAGTACTTTCCTCCTGTAGACTCCAAGAGACACCGGCTTCCCATCCAGGGAGTCCATAGTGAAGTCATAAACTGAATTTCCTGCCATGTCCCTGTCAACCAGCACACTGGTTAGCTTGCAGTTACCTTCTGCAAGGCTACCAGCTCAGTTTCATTCAGCTCAGTTCTACAACTCCATGGCTCAGCAATTGTGCTGCATGGCTGCTTCCATTGTAACCCTGCCCTGTGGGTGAATTGACAAGCTAATTTTTTTTTTGTGCTACATTTGCAAAGGTATGCAGATTCTCGTTCTGAATGAACAGGTAATAGGAAGTAAAGAGTCTACATGGTAGCATGGGCCGTTATCCATCCAGGGTGACAATATGTTTGTGTCTTGATTTAGCATTCAGTATTAAAATTGCAGCTTTTCTTCATACAAGTCATACAATTATATATCATCACTGTCAGGTCAAAACTCATTTTTATTTTCTTTACACTTTACACATGGCATGAAAATGTCATGACAAGTAGACCAATAGAGATGGTTCAAATTACTTGCTACATTAGCTTGTGCTAAAATTTAGGAAACTTTTTTTCTCCTTAAAAAGCTGCCATTTTGGAGATATTTTGTGATTTACAGCACATGTATTTACATGATTTGAAGCCACATTTTGTAATAGTCCTCATTTCAAAGCCATGGTTTAAGGCAGGTGTTTTAGATCAGGTAAACACAAAAATGGTAAATTCATTCATCAAGTGTCCGGGACTGGCAATGCCATGTCAATTTGATTTTAGGAAGTCTAAGTTGTTGAAAGGAATTGCAGTACAGGCCATTGTATATTGGAGAGAAAACATAATGCATTAAAGAAAATAATAGAATTATACATTTATTAGGATTAAAGGAGAAAGGGTGAGTGATATCCACTGAAAGAGACAGGCAAAGAAAAACAAAACACGACATCGTTTGGTGGCCTAGTTAGCTGAAGAGTTGAAGAAGATGTGCTTAAAGAAGAAGATTTGTGGTGTAGGCTAACACCCAGTGGTGACCAGCCTTCCTCCTGAACATGTACCTTGCTGCAGGGTGTAGTTCAAATCCTAATCTATTAGTCTATAAATCTAAAATTTCTTCAGAAGATCAACTGACTTAGGTGTGTTAGATCTGGGCTGGAACTGAACTCTGCAAAGTAAGTTAGCACTAAGAAGAACCTCTGTGGTGTCTATAGAAGGAAAGCTCAGACTTAATTTTAACTTTGCTTTCTCTTGTGTTACCTCCCAGCCAGCATCAGCTGGAGCTCTGGGTATTAGACTTTAAACCAAACAAGCTCATCAGTTAACAGACCAAACCAAGCTCAGCTGGACTTAATTTCCTCAGGCCCAGAGTTAGGATCCCTCAGTTTAAAGCTGTGATTGCCCCTTATTACTCTATGATCCAGTGTCCTTTACATGGATTAAGCCTAGTCTGCAATGTCAATGGAGATTGGTTTAGCCCAGCAGTCACTAACCCTGGTCCAGGAGATAGTGTTGACACCCATCCAAGATTTTTCTGGATCATTATGTGTTTTGGTCCTCTGTCCAGGAAAAAAGTCTATTCCTGGACACAGAAATCCAAGCACTTTAACAAAAGCACATAAAAGCATTTCTTATGAAGCATTCCTTTTAACTATTTATCCAATCAAACCATTTGTTTACAAAGAGTAAATTTGATTGGTTCTAATTACCTTTAGCATAGGGATACTTAATTAAAGAAGATGCTCTGTTGGTGACATTTTTAGGCACTAGGCAGCACTGCAACATGATAACTGAGAAGATTAGGTCCTGTAACAGAACAGACATCCATCTACCTTAGATTGCATTGGGAGCACAGCTACACATCCATTAAATTTGGTAAAAAAAAAAAAAAAGGCTTACTTTACCTGGACATCTACCTTCCTACAGAGTTAAGTTGCTGCCACAATCTGCCACACTTGCTTCAGCTAATTTCTTTAGAAGCTCGTTTGGTTGGATCAGATGTATTTGTGTTAGGAAAGGGAGGCAGCATGTTAGCTTGGAATTAAACTCTGTAGGAAAAAAGGATGTCCTGGAGGAAGGCTGGTGACCACTGGCCTGGGCTGTGATCTAACCTGAGTCTGGTAAACTCTCCTAAAGTGCTAAAATGTGTTTCTTTTTGCCATTCAGCTTTGGAAACTCACTCACTTATTTTGTACCTGCATTGTCTCAAAGGAATTTTGGAAGTAAATGTCCTTAATAGTTTTCATGTTCCTGTACAAATGTGTTTCTACAAATGAGATATGAGTCCTTTTACTAAACTATGATACTAATTCAAGTAAAGTAAATGAGGTTGTGAAACTATTAACCTTACTGGGTAAGTTTCATATACACAAATCCAGAGTCATGGCATCAGTTCCTGATTTTGGGCTGTTCTGCAACAACCTGAAATTTTTTATGATTTCTCATTACAAATACAACAGAAACAAAACAAAAAAAAGACATAACTTCCGTTAAACATTATTAAAACACTGCATCGAGTAACATAGATCATATCCATGAATGACTTATTTGCTGATCGAAGTTATTGTCATTATTATTTATTTATTGTTAAATTCATCTGATTTTATTATATTTATCAAATTTTAAATTTACTTTTATTTTGTTATTTATGTGTGGATGTATGTGTTGTCCTTTCATTTTAATATATGTTCAACATAAACTTGTATGTCTGTATGTCCAATTTTTCCAATAGGTACTGTATATTGATCCCTGTACGTGATTATTCAAATAAAATTTAAAATAAAATAAGAAATTTAATTTTAAAAAGCGCTAAATTGAACTCGCCACATTGCTGCCACCTAGTGTTGGGGGATGGGAAGACACTTTCCCCCCAGACACTAGATGGCAACAGAGGGACACAGAACAGCGGTGGGACAAACAGCCGGTCAGCATAAACATGACAAATAATGACTGTCACCCTGTCGCTTGCACTGCAATGGACGCAAAATCGGAGGAACGACCTGTGGGGTCCAAGTATGGATGCATTTTCACATCATGCGTTTAGTATCTACAGTAAAACTGTGAAGCATTTTGCAGGGAATGCATGCAAACTTCCTGTGTTCGTGTTTGCTATCGAGTTAGCCGCCTGTCTACCGGCTCTCTGTTTAAAGGGCTGCTCTCCATAACGCAAAATCTGTTTAATACCATATTTAATGCGGCGCGTTGCTGTGTTTGTGTCTTTAGCGCGGTGGTTCTGTCATATGAAAGTGTGAAGCGGTAGCTGGAACTTTGTAATCAGTGTAGAAGGACTGAACTGTGTGTTACTACAATGTTGTGGAAGCCTCTCTGCCTCCCTGTGTTTATCAGGCGTGTGTTACACTCTTACAGCAAAAAGGTTCTCTAGGAAAGGGAGTGGTTCTTTTTAGAACCATGAGTTTTATATTGAGCCCTTTTTATGCTTAAATGGTTCTTTGCATAGATTTGCTTCAGACTGATGGAGAATGTGTTGTATATGGTTCTATATAGAACCTTTTTGAAAATGGTTCTATATAGCACAAAAAACGTCAAGCTTGTAACAATATAAGAACGCTTTCTGATGATATATAGAACCATGTACAGCACATTCTCCATCACTCTGTAGAACAATTTCGCCATGTAAAGAACCATTTAAGCATGTAGAACCATTCCCTTTACTAAAAAACCCTTAAAGAACCATCTCTATGTATGTGTATGGCTGATATTTATGAGGATATTTATGATATTTATGCACTTTCCTTCTGTTTTTGCAGTTGTGATGCTTATTGAGGCAAACATGCACCCTTAAATGTGCCGAAGGGTGAATTTTGGTTCACTAATGAAATCAATGCATAGTTCTTAGTTCTTTAAGGGACCTTAAATGTATGAGTGTGAATGTGAAGAACCTCCTCATATTGTAAAGGTTCTAGGGATTAGAACCATACATCCACATCAAGAACCATATAGGAGGAACCTTTATTTTTAAGAGTGCAGGTCTGAATACATGCTGTCCTGTTGCAGGTATCAGTTGCTGGACCTGCCCTGGGAGGATGTCTTGGTGACCCATGTGCTGTGCTACATGCCTTTGCGGCATCTGGTCATCCTGCAGCGCGTGAGCAAGAGCTTTCGCTCTCTTGTTCAGGTTTACCTGGCCAACTGCCGCACTTTCGACTCTGCACAGGTGAGCTGTACCAGCTCCTCTAATGTTGCACATCAAGCTGAACTCATGGAGCTAGTTTTGTGGATGTGGCTCATGCCAAGTCTTAGACTGAATTACAATGCCAAAGGTGTTTCACCCTTAAAAATCCAGGTTAGTCTAGGTTTAGGCTTAATCTGGGTCTGGGAAACTGGCCCATACAGTATGGACAGTCTGTGTAATGAGTGTGGATGCTTTTCATTCTCATACATACTGTTCTTGAGTTAGGTACGTTTGAAGATGAGAAGGTTTATTTGATTCTTGTTTTGTTTTTTTGTTTGTGTGAACATCTGTGTGTTGAATAGAATTTCATTTTTAGACATTAATTTGATTTGTATTACTTTATATGCATAATATAGGCAGATAAGCAATGATAAGCAATGAGTAACTGGGCGGCATGGTGGCACAGTGGGTAGCACTGTCACCTCAACGTAAGAAGAGCCTGTGTCCTTTCTGTGTGGAGTTTTCCAGTTCTTTGCATGTTCTCCCTGTGTCTGTGTGGATTTTCTCTGGGTGCTCTGGTTTCGTCTCACGGTCTAAATAGGTGTTCAGGTGAATTAGAAATGCTAAATTGCCCCAGGTCTGATGTCTGTGTGTCCGCCCTGCGATGGACTGGTGATCTGTCCAGGGTTGTTCCTGCTTTCCGCCCAGTGAGTGTTGGGATGGGCTCCAGCAGAGAGTTCCAAGATGTGTTTATAAAACAGCTCTCGATGCATCTCATTTTTGATTTGGGGTGGCCTACATTATGATTTTGTCCCTGTTTTTAAATTTGAGTGTAGCCTGCACTCTGTGCACTTGTCTGTAGGCCTGTTTCACCACCTAATGTGTTTAAACTAAAATCTTAATATTTGGCAGGCAGAGATAAGGCATTTTATCTTTATTTTTTTAGTCACATATTGTATACAGTATATCTCTGACTCTGAATATAAATCTGAATATTTCTGGATTAGCTATTTAGCCCCTTTGCAGTATGTATGTATGTATGTATACAAAAATTGTGACCAACTTGGAACAGCAAATATCTATGTATATATCTATCTATGTATGTGTATCTGTGTCTCCAGACAGGTCCTCGTATTCCAAAGGAAGCTTTCTGCTCCATGCTTCGTGACAACAAGGTCCTCCACAGCCTCTCCGTCCACGGCTGCTCCGACTGGATCACTGATAAAGAGCTGCTCCCTGTGATTGGTCAGAACCAGTTGCTTCTTCGCGTGGACCTGCGCGGATGTGTCAGGCTGAGTCGCCATGCTCTGGTGGCCGTGTCCCTGAGCTGCCCCCGTCTGCAGCATCTGTGCCTGGCACACTGCGAGTGGGTGGACAGCCTGGCACTGAGGAGCCTGGCTGACCACTGCAGGGACCTGCGCTCTCTGGACCTCACCGCCTGCAGGCAGCTGAGGGACGAGGCTGTATGTTATGTGGTGGCAAAGTGGCCCTCACTGCGCTCGCTTTCCGTGGCTGTTAATGCTAACATCACGGACGTGGCTGTGGAGGAGGTGGCCAAGCGCTGCAGGGAGCTGGAGCAACTCGACCTGACGGGGTGTCTGAGGGTACGCAACGAGGCTATCAGGTGAGGCATAGAGAGTGAGGGGTGAGTGAGTTAGTGTTGCACAGTATGGACAATTCTTAATATGTTGTGGAACCTTAGATTGTGTGTTAGTTTTGTGATTATATTGCTAGATATTGTGGTTGAAATTTTATTTGGACCATTTTATAAACAAATTGGCGACTCAGTAATGTAACGTAGTTAAGTACTGTTACATTACATTTGACCAAAATAATTGTATTACACGAATACCTTGATTCATCAAAACACCCAGAGAAACTATTCTGGAACTGTGATTGATCAACATCCTTGAAGTACATAATAATAAAAACATTGTTAGTGTATTTATAAGTATATTTAACATTATAAATAAACATATATATTGATTTGCGTATCAATGTCTTCTGCAGTGTCAGTGTTAAAGGCCAATCTCACGGTTAACTGTTCAGGTCAGTCTGTTTTGTGGACCTAGTGTTTGTGCGAACTTCAAGAGTTTAGGAGTCTGATATGAGGCGAAGATCACAGTGATATCAGAACATATTGTTATTGGCAGATATTTGCTTCAGAAGAGTCAGCAATAGACAGATGTTTAGATTTGACCGATGTTTCAAATCAATATTTGATACCGTATTTATTGTACTCTAAAAGAGCAGGACGTTGAGGAGATGTGAGGCTACTGCACTAAAATCATATTTATTTATCTGCATTTGTAACCCTTTACAGATAAATATCACATTTCTTGGTAAGGCCAATCCAAGTGGATCTAGTCCCAATTTCTACATTTTATAAGTGTCAGCATTGGCAGATACGTACATGAAGAATATCAGATATTGGCATCGGCCCACAATTCCCATATTGATGCATCCCTAATTCTTGCACATTTTGCTGCAGCGTAAAAATTTGTCTTGTACACTGTATGTCCAAACGTATCCAGACAACTCTTCTAATTAGTGAATTCAGCTACACTAAGGTGCACCCATTACTGACACAGAAGCGCAAATTGTGCACATGCAGCTTGTATAACCTCCATAGAAAAGTACTGAATATAGAATGGGACACTGTGGAGCAGCCAAGCATGATCTTGCCAGTGCCAGGTTTTGGCAAGACAGGTTTAAAGCTCTTAACATGAGGCTGTGGAGCAGTGGAACGGTGTTATCTGGAGTGATAGAGCTCCATTCATTTGATCCAGAACTAATCATTGAACATCATTAAATGACTTCACTAATGCTCTTGAGATTGAATGCAATCAGATCCTAACAGCAATGTTACAACATCTAGTGTAAAGCCTCCCAGAAGAGTAGAAGCTGTTACTGCAGCAATAAGGGGACAGACTCACTACTGATGCTCTTGACTTTGGAAGAAATGTTGAATGAACAAGTGTCTACAAACCTCTGGACATATGGTGTATGACAGACTCTGTTCCAGAGCAAGTAAATGGACTGTTTAAATTCAATTTTGACATTTGAGTACTCCTGCCCCCTTATGAACACATATATAAGCATGTGTTTGTGTACTATAATTAAGAAGTTTCATTTGTTTTTGATTTTTATGATCTTTGTGTGTAGGACCGTGGCTGAATATTGCCCTAAACTGCAGTCCCTAAAGGTGAATCATTGTCACAATGTTAGTGAGTCCAGCCTGGGTGTTCTGCGAAGGAGGAATGTAGAGATCGACGTAGAACCTCCCCTCCAAAGGGCGCTAGTGCTGCTTCAGGATGTCGTGGGCTTCGCCCCCTTCATCAACCTCCAGATATAAAACCCACCTGGGACCACATGTATCATACATCTCAGAGTAAGAGTGCTAATCTCCCAGCATCTTCTCCACATACGGTCATATTTATTAGGATATAACGCAGCAGCAGTTAAGTCTTTTTCTGAGAATGATGATACATATGACCTCTGCAGCAGTCTAGACACAGGTGAGTGCTTTGTCCAGTGTATTTAAGAGCTAGTTTCAGTCTATTACTGCAAAATGTGTTGCTTGATGTATTTTAATGATAAAGAAATTCTGTTGTTTGTTATCTTTCAGGTTATCTCATCATTGATCTATTTGGAGCAGCTCTCTGTGCTGGCACACTGCAATATCATCTATGGAATATGAAAATGTATAGTAGCATTTTAGTGCAGCAGTATCTGTCCAAACCCAGTCCTGGAGGCTACAGCACCCCTGTTGATTATTAATTTTAGCATCAGGTGCATTCTAACAGGGGAAATTAAAGTAGCTCTCCAGACTGGACTTTGGCACACTTCTGTTTTAGAAAGTTTTAGCTCTTGTAAACAAATTTCCAGATTTTCTGAACATTTATTGAATCTGTCATACTCGACGTTTGCATGTATAAATGCAAAGTTCTTTGTATTCTACTATGACAATATGATGCATTCTGAGCACTCCAGTTGCTTTAGAAATCTTTTGAATTATGATGGGAGGCTCATCTGATTCATGCAGAATTGCAGGACTTATAGTGTTTAATTTTATTTATTTGGATTATTTTTGCTGTTTAATTTTGCACTTATGAGAGACTGAAAAAAATCACTTGCACTTTCCAGAGTATCCTTTTGTGTCATACCTCACTGAGCAAGTGGGTTGTGACGTGTTCCGGTGTCAGTGGACATACATGCACCTTCTCCATTTCTGCACAGTAGAATTGCTACTGTATAACATAAAAGTGATGGTAAAAAGTAACGCACAGTCAGTATAGGTCTAGCTATTGAGTTAACTGGAGTTAACTCGCCACATGTGGATGCATTTAATACAATCTTAAGGTACTGATCATTTCAGTAATGGCTTTGTAAAAAATCATTCATAAAATTTTATTTAAGATTTAAAGCTTTATTAGTAAATTGCATTTGGAAAAGAATGGCACCAGGCTTAGATTGGTCTCATTAGGAAGTTAATCAAATACAATGTTCTTAAACAATGTTACTTTGACACTTAATGGTGTTGAGCTGTTTATTATTTGCCTTCAACAGTCCATCACAATCACCTGCTCCATTTAAAAGAGAATTCCACCCATTTTCCAAAAGTTCTGCATAATAAATTGGAATGAAAGCAGTCATGCAGAGTGGTTTGATGTGGGTATTTATAGAGAATCTTGCAGTGGTAGAAACCAGGGGTTGTAATGTCTAAAAGAAAAATATAGCCACTTATTTACTTTCCAAAATAACCAGTGAAATTGTCATAAATCTTAATAAAAGGGTTTCATTGGGTGCTGTTTTGCTCCCAACATTCTGCATGTATGTCTTTAGCGTGAATGTATTTTTACAAATACATAGATCAACATCTTGTCTCAAAACTATTGTATAAGAGCCTCGGGCATCAGCAGCAAATACATAACCATTTCCCATCTTAATGATATAATTCTGCAGTTATTTTTGAAAAATTAGTGGAATTCCCCTTTTAAGAGTGAATTTAATTTAGAATGTCTTTTTTTTTTTTTGGAAAGATGTTAAATCATTCTTATATTTCAGTTGCATTCATGTGTGGACATGGAGAGTGAAAGCCACTGTATAACCCATCACAGCACACCTGGTTCAGCTCATGTTGTGTGAGTTGAGCTAGGGGTGTTGGAGCTCCTGTGGGCAGACTGTTCTACTGTATCACACATTGTATTATCAAACGTGGACTTTGTGTTTTGCTTTATTAATGTTTTTTTTATGATTCTGTATACATGTGTTAAATGTTATTGTAAAAGATGTCTAATTGTCTTATACAAATTGCTGTATGAAGGAATATATAATCTTATACAGTATAGTGGTCTGACTTTGATTCAGTTAGTGAATGTTTAATAACATTTGGTGAACTTCACACATGGAACTTTGCAGATTTGCCATAACCCAGTTCTTATTCATAATCATGAGCTAAATTTTACTGGTTTCTCTGCACTCAGGTCATTCTTTACAGTCAGCCTTATGTATAATATGGTGATGGTCCTAACACTGCAGACTTTTGCATGTTGAACATCTTGTGAGATGTATTAAGGCTTGCAGTACAACCAAATGACCACTAGATGTCAGTAGAAGCTAGTGTTTGTTGGAATCCTAGCGCAAATACTATTTTGGTCATTTGGATCAGTGCTATATTTGTGGCTGGCTTTATTCCAAGTAATCTCTCTCGCTCTCTCCATGCTGATGTAATCCATATTTGCTAATACATGTTCAAGCTATATTAAGAAACTATAAACCATGCATAGCTTTAGCTCTAACTTATGCGACTGTCAAAATGGTATCTGAGGAAAATTGTGCCATTAAGTCAGGCATGTTGATGAAGTTGGTAATGGAAATAACGAATGAGCTACAATTTCCTCAATACTATTCCAAAGGCAAAAATACCAAGAAACTACATGCACAAAGTAAACATGAGTTCAGCAGAGCTGGATCATTTAGAAAGAGCAACCAGGGCAGTGAAAAAAGGAAAGTCGATCATGCTCAGTCTCCCACCTCATGCAACTCACTGCCTTCAGCCTTTGGACAGAGCTGTTTATGGGCACTTAAAGATATAACCACAACAGAGCCCCTGATGGATGGACATGATTGAATCCTGGCGAGTCAGCGTCTGTATACGATGTCCCAGCAGCAGTTGTGTACTAAGCCTTTGTGACATCCATGATGCAATAAAGCATCCTGTCCATGTTCTGCTAGGAGATGATTTTACCGAAGAAGAGTTTGGCCCCCTTGCTATTTGTATGGTCACAGTTGCAGGTGTCTGTCCTGTCTGACACTGCCCTATAATGATTAGTCTTCCTGGTCATCTAGATCCATCTTTTCACCCACCTTCAACCAATGTACCTTGCAGAAAATCTGGGCCAACAACTAAAATGTTTTTAAAAAGTCACTAAAAGCAGCTCAGAGGGTGAAATTAGCATTTATCTACACTCTTAGAAAAGATGGTTCTTCAAGGGTTGTTTAGTAAGGAAAATGGTTCTGTACACTCAAAGAACCCCTTTGCATGATTAAAAGTTGAAATGCTGAAATGGTGCGTCAAATTGATGAAGGATGTGCTGTAGATGGTTCTATATGGAACCTTTTTGAAAAGGGTTCTGCTGTTGTTACAAGCTTGACCTTGTCACAATAGAAGAACCCTTTTTGGTACTACATAGATCCCTTTTCAAAACAACGCATTCCCCATCAATCTGAAGAATGCTTTCATGATGCAAAGAACCTTTTAATCATGCAAAGTGTTCTTTGAGTGTTCATGGCTCCATATAGAACCATTTTCTTTACCAAAAACCCCACGAAGAACTGTCTTTTTTAAGAGTGTAGCTGACACACCAAATGTTGAGAGCTGTATGAGAATGACGTCAAAGTGTAGCAGAGAATTTTGCAGGTAAACTGAAGGTGCTGCTAAGATGTTCCCCCGCAGCTTTGACAGGTGGAATGTGGGGTAGGCCGGGTAGGGTGGTGGCATCTAAGGTTCAGTTGTAGAGCACAGTGCTGTCTAGGTCATAACAGAAACCTGGATAGTACTTAAGCATTTCTTAGAAGCAGATAAATGCTTTTCGCAATAACATGCGTTTTAGCTTCATCTATTGAGCCACTGTCACTTTGTCCATGTTATATTGCTATTTGTTGTTATTTACATAATAATTTAAATATACTGTACTGCCCCTCACTTGTTTGCCATTGCTTAATGTACCCCTTTTTATACTCCGTTTACCCTGCACTTGGGCCAAGTTGCGCCTGATTACCACCTCTGTATTTCCAGGATTAATTTACCTGTAATTGTACAACATCCTGAACTGTTGCTGATGGCAGTTTTCAACAACAGACATTAGGCTGCAGTATTGACCATATGGATAGTGGTCCTGCAGAATGCCCTGTCTTCTGTTTGAGTCTTCAAGCATCCTGAGCATCAAGCATCAATGGTTTCACTGACTTGTGTCCATCTATCTTGTAGCTGGCCATCCTCTTCCTATTTTGCATTCAACTGTTCCAAGCATCATTGTCGTTTCCAAATAAAATAGAAGAGGTTCGGGCTTTGAGTGAGAAGGGAAGCTTGATTTGGTCAATGATCTGTTTTCTTTGCCTTCCAAGGTACTCTCAAAAGTCTTCGCCAACACCAAAGTTCAAAGGCACATCCTTAAAGAAAATTGGCTTCTACCAGCCGATTCTCCGCATGTATGTGTGTCTCCTAAAACTCACAGTATTTTATAGACAATTTGCATTTCCAAACTAAGTTATATGCAGAGCTGGGATGTAACAAAAGTATTGGGAATTCATATTCAGAATGCAGAAATTAAGTATACATTGTAAAGACAGTGTTCGGAATATGGTTACCTTTAGGGTGATTTTGGGAGAATACTTTTAGAATATTTACCCACTGCAAAAAAACTTTATAAAAAAAATCTTTATAGAAAACAACATCTCGTTTAGTAACTTGTTTATTGAACTTGAAAATCAGCGCACAGCATGCAGAAAACATGCTGCTTGGACGAACACAAAATAACTTAATTACGGCTTCCTTACAAACTCTGAAGTTCCTGCTAACGCCCATGTGTCAAACAAAAGGTCCGGGGCCAGATAAGTCCGGAGCATAATCCAACCTGGCCCACGAAATTATTTTGATTTTCTATTAATATTAGCCTGTTTCACAACACTCTGCACTACAATCCCCAGCATGCACCACAGCATAATGTGCATAATGTAATATAGCCTATTGTAATGTGCATAATGTTATGTACTGTAGCCTATTTATATATTTATTCATTTATTTGTTTTATTTTGGAATATTTCAAGTATTCATTATGTAATATTTCAAGGTTCACTTCAACTGCCTTTATTTTAATGTTGGTGTTTTGGCATATTTTGAATAAACAATAGACAACTCAGGTTATAGCAAAATGTTATTTAACAGTCAAATAAAAACAAGTGGTTCTCTGGCCCACAGATTTGTAGACGTTTTTTAATATGACCCTTTTAGTGGTTGAGTTTGACAGCCCTGTGCTAAAGCCTGAGTGGACTGATAAATCAATGTGATGGGTTGGTTATTAATCACAGTGTTACTGGGCTCTTTTGAGGGATGATCAAACTAATAATCTCCTCAGTAGTGGACATGTTTGCAAAAGATAAGCTTTGCATCTGTGTTGTACTGGACTCCTGCTGCCTTCTTAGTATGTATTCTGAATATATTACTGTATTATGTCATGTAATGGAACATGTTACTGAACACATTTAGGACAGTGTATTCAGTATTCATCCACCACTACTTTTCAAAGTATTCTGGTTATATGTAATTACATCTGATATTCTGTTTCAGCCAGTGACGTTTAGTCATCTTTATGCATTGCCATAGAGTTAAACCCTGGCGCCACAGGCTATTGCTTCTGTAATTGCTTCATAAATATGTATGAATTTGTCAGGAAGTGGCGCGCGCGTAATATCTAAATGATTAGCCAGCAAAGCTCAGTTTGAAATGTTAGTGCTGTTATGTTATCCCCACTGTACAGGGCAAACAACAACACGTGCACGTGCCTCCCAGAAGCCCTCATGCGCTCTGGAGAAAAAAAAAAAAGACTGAAAGTCGTCACACCTGCAAAATGATAGCGATTGCACGAGCGCGCGCACTGAGCATGCTCCTGCCGGCAGGGAGGGTGAGGGAGAGTGCGTGCGTGCGTGCGTGCGTGCTGGAGTGAGTGCAGGAGTGTGTGCAGTGCCTCCGGCGCCACGAGCCGGGCACGGAGCTCGAGGTGGAGACTAAAGCTAAGACAGCCGGACAGCTGGTCAGTTTGTGCTGCTGGACAAGCACCAGAGCTTCAGAAGGAGCTGAGCTCCACTCTGTGCTGTCCTGCGGTGGAGCCGGAGACTGGAGCCCGGCGCTGGGTGCTGTGCTTCATGCGGACTGCAGCAGCAGCAGCAGACGGAGGACGGAAGGACAGACGGACGCAGT